AGGAGCTTGGCAGGCTACAGTTCATTTGTTTACAACATGTTGGACATGAGTTAGTGACTTCACTTTCACTTTAGGATATCTTCCTATGTTTCTCATTAAGAGTTAAACACAAAAGTGCCGTTAATATTCCACAGTGTGACAGAATAACCTTTGCAGTAACCTGTTATCTCTTTTGTTCCTTAATAATAGTTCTACAACTTTAGTACATTTCGATTCTGTTACTGTTAGCCATAGATTCTCAATTGCCGTGGGAATGAAGTCGCTTAATGATGAGGTGCTAAATTTTACATTAAAATATTTGATTTGTGAGTAACATTCTTTGAGGATATTGGTTTCCAGTTCTGAAATCCCTTTATTTTTACTCAGTGTCTCCACATTGCCTTCCTAGATTATTTTAAGGGAAGAGTTTAGTATTTTTCTGCTTACTGTATTGTGAGAATTCCACTTTGCTCAGTTAAAAATTAGTAAAGGCCTTTATGGGTATTTGGAATCAAGTTGTATTATTTGGTTTTTAACAGTATTGAAAAATGGCTGTTATTTTTCAGTATTTTGGACTGGCATAGATTATGTAATTTATTTCAGTATATTTACTGAAAGTGAAGGTGTTAATCACTCAGTCATGTCCAACTCTTTGTGACCCCCATGGACTGTAGCCCACCAGGCTCCTCTCTCCGTGGCATTGCCCAGGCAAGAATGATAGAGTGGGTAGTCTTCTCCCTTCTCCAGGGGATCTTCCCAACCCAGGGATTGAACCCAGGTCACCTGCATTGCAGGCAGATCCTTTACCTGAGCCAAGCAGCCTGCTGGTATATTTACTAGGATGATGTAAATAATTTTTTCTTTGAAATCTCTGGATGAAAGGTCTTTAGAATTGGATGTACCTGCAGTTATAACTTGTAATAGTACAAGTTACAAAAATAACTCATCAGTGGCTTTTCTGTCAGTGTTTACAGATGTGTATATTATATGCCAATTTTGTTCACGTATTTCATGAAGAACTTTGATGTATAAGAAACAGTGATAGATGCTAGGGTAAAAATGATGAATAAGATAGATATTTCATCCAGACTTAGGGAATCAAGGAAGTTTTTTTCTTCCAGGAAATATCATCATTGAGATTGATACTTAAATGTAGTATGAATTAGCTGGGTGAAGTGCTGGAATAAAAAATATACTAGAGAGAAATAATATTTTTAGAAGTGATAGATATGAACAACTAAAACATTAATGAACATATTAAAGAGTAGATTGGACATTGTTGAAGAAAAAATTCATGTACTGGAAAATAATTCTTGGGAAATTATCCAGAATGTCAAAAGATAGCAAATATGAAAGGAATTTTGAGAATAAATGAGGATAGAATGAGAAGGTCCAAGAATAAAAAGGAAAGATAAAATTGGGGAAAGGCAGTATTTGAAGAAATTTTGACTGATAATGTGAATTGAGGAAAACATGAATTGGTGTGAATAGTAGATAAAAGTAAATTCTCTTCTTTTGCCTGCTCCTTCCCTAATCCTCAGAAAACCCCAGAGAATTATAGAGTAAATGGTGGAAGAAACCTCGGTCCATAAATGCCACTGTGGAACTAACTTCCCCACTATCCTATGGTTTATAAGATTTAAAATTTTTTGGTGGCCATAAACAACACAGTCATGCTCAGATGAAATGTATATTCAATTTGAGACCATCTTAATTGCTAATTTGTTACTTTTTTTTTTCTTGCTGCATATGCCTTAAGTTTTATGAAGTCCATTAAGAATTTTCTGTTAGCACATCATTACACCAGTTCACTATCTCCCAAATGTAATTGTTTCAGTGACATTTAGATCTGTTTTGAAACTATTTCAGATATTTGATTTATTATTTTATACATAAGCTAAATATATTCAGAAAATACCACAGAAAACATTTGATTCTGTTTCAGATTAGAAATCTTTCTCTACAATTTTTTTCCCAAAAGCATCCAAAAGATATATGCCTTCAAAGCAAGGTAGCACAAATTAGAAATTGATGTGAAGACAGAGCAAAGGGCTAACAACATTGGGTACATAAACTAGAGTCAGAATTGAAATTAGTACATAAAATACCCTGACCTTGGAAATGGTTGTGATCTTTATTTTCATGTTCTAGCCATTGATTATTTCCTCCAAGTGTCCAGTCTTTACTAAAGCACAGTATTATATGTGTATGAAGTACAAGAAATATATATTTCTGAGTTCATAGAAGTTATGCTGGTCCATAATTCCTTATCTGAAGAAAGGTTTAAGACCAAATAAGTTTTAGATATCTATTTTTGTGTGTTTTGAAATGGTTTTAGGGTACCTTATTTATGTAATAACCCCAGGAGTGTTCATAGCCCAGAAGGTCTGGCTTTGGTTAACAGGTTCCCCCTGAGTAGAGACTTTCTAAAGAAAAACAGAATGTTTCAGTGTATTTCAAAATTGTTCCTTATCCTCTCTCCTTGCTGGAAGCCAGAGGGGATTTTTCTAGGATATTTTCTATGGGAACTTGATTGAGCTCTTGGAGGTAAACCTCACAGTATTGTGGGGACCCCCTTAAAACTGGATCGCCTGGTCATTCTTTAACGAGTTTTTAAGTGAGCCTCTATCAATTCATGAATTACAGTTCAGGTTTTAATACCCCAGCACTAATTCCTAAGCAGTTCTGCTCAATAGTCTCTGCTCTGGGAAATCATGACCACCAGTTTTTTCTTGTGGATCTCTCCAGTCTTGGTCCTGACGTCCTCCTACAGTGGGGAAGAAGCAGGTATACGGACTGTATACTTGAGAAATTTGTCATCAAAGGAAGAAGGATTTAGATGGTTTCAAAGCTTTTAACCTGGGAATCTGACAAGTATAAAGTATTTCCTTTAAGTTTTATAGAATCTAATTAACTCTAAAGTCCAGGGAAAAACTGAAGACACTCGGTTTTATGAAAGTACACATGGTTTTTTATACAAGCAGGATTTCCTCAGGGAAATAGGTAAGGTAACTTATATGCAGAGTACATCATGAGAAATGCTGGGCTGGAAGAAGCACAAGCTGGAATTAAGATTGCTGGGAGAAATATCAATAACCTTAGATATGCAGATGACACCACCCTTATGGCAGAAAGTGAAGAGGAACTAAAAAGCCTTTGATGAAAGTGAAAGAGGAGAGTGAAAAAGTTAGTTTAAAGCTCAATGCTCAGAAAACTAAGATGATGGCATCTGGTCCCATCACTTCATGGGAAATAGATGGGGAAACAGTGGAAGCTGTGTCAGACTTTATTTTTTTGGGTTCCAAAATCACGGCAGATGGTGATTGCAGCCATGAAATTAAAAGACACTTACTCCTTGAAAGTTATGACCAACCTAGATAGCATATTAAAAAGCAGAGACATTACTTTGCAAACAAAGGTCCGTCTATTCAAGGCTATGGTTTTTCCAGTGATCATGTATGGATGTGAGAGCTGGACTGTGAAGAAGGCTGAGCGCTGAGAAATTGATGCTTTTGAACTGTGGTGTTGGAGAAGACTCTTGAGAGTCCCTTGAACAGCAAGGAGATCCAACCAGTCCATCCTAAAGCAGATCAGTCCTGGGTGTTCTTTGAAAGGACTGATGTTGAAGCTGAAACTCCAATACTTTGGCCACCTCATGTGAAGAGTTGACTCATTGGAAAAGACCCTGATTCTGGGATGGACTGGGGGCAGGAGGAGAAGGGGATGACAGAGGATGAAATGGCTGGATGGCATCACCAACTCGATGGACATGAGTTTGAGTAAACTCTGGGAGTTGGTGATGGACAGGGAGGCCTGGCGTGCTGTGATTCATGGGGTCGCAAAGAGTTGGATGCGACTGAGTGACTGAACTGAACTGAACAAGAAATTGGGAAAGCTGAGGCGACCCTCCCCAATATTTGAAGTAAGAAGAAGTTTACTGTAGGTGTGTAATGCTCCATTCTTTGATACAGAAGTGATGTGATAGATGTATATTTTTTGAAACCTAGATTGCTCTGTTCTGTTTCTATGAGGCTCCAGCACCCTTGTTGCTTTCTCCTTCACTGAAACGTGCAAGCTGTTCTAGGATCTGAGGGCAGATACATCTGTGTTGGGATTGAGAATGAAAAGGTCATGGATTCAGCTGCCTCAGCCATTCATCATTTGTGAGAGAATCTAGGTTAGACTGCTTCCTCATCTACTCTTGATCAATGTATTTGTTGACTCTGGGCTTAGAGACTTAGAGACCCTAGAGAACAGGGGAGAATCATTTTAAGAGGCTGTGTTTTCTTTCCTCTGCTCTGATTTCTCAATCAGTTCTTTCCTACTGCTTTCTCTCTTTCTATAATTTGTCAAGTTTCTAGTCTGCTGGTGGAACCTTAACTTGGTTTTTTTAGTGTTATTATTGTGTCATTCTTAAAAGTACATACATGTTATTTATTAGGTGTGTAGGGTGGAGGTGGGGGAATATGTATTGCCACTTAAGAGGGATAATGAGATAAAGGGTAGGCAGGTGCACATATTCATTTTTCTATATTGAATCAAACATGATGACTAAATTAAAAACCCTGTAATTAAGACTAGTAGCCCACATAAAATAGTGTTTTTATTAACATGAATAAATTTTATTAAGTAAGAACTGACTATAATCTTTGCTTTCCATGGTTACTACTGAAAGTATAAATTTAATCAGATGTCTGAAATCTTTACATAAAAGCTGTGACTCCCTGCTAATTGGTTGGGCCCATCTCGAACTGTAAGCTTTTGAGTGTGTACAAATGGGTATTTATAGCTATATAGGAAAGCAGGAGGAAGATTAGATTTCAGGAATAGGAGACTCAAGACTCTCAGCTGATCTAACATGAGATTGACTCATTTTAGAACTGGGAAATATCTTTTTATCTCCAAAGTTTTAGACTTATTTAACATCTGACATTTTAGATTCCAAGTATTATTATCTAAATATCAGTATCTAAAGGTCCTGTTATTTCACGTGTCCTTATGTTCCTGTTTCTTTCTTTTAGGTCTCTTTTATTCAGAACCTTGTATTCTGTGTAGAAAGAGTTTACCGGGTACCCGACTTTGGTGTCTGGGAAAGAGGAAGCAAATATAATAATGGCAGCACAGAACTGCATTCGAGGTAATTTGCTGATTTCTGAGTGTTTTGTTTTCTACTTTTAATTTGAATGTGTGGAATGTGAATAAAAATCAAAGAACTAGATTGGAACTCTGGTTTCTGTGTAGTTTTCATCTCTCTTTTTTTCTATATATTAATATAATTCAGGTGAAATTCACTTAAAATTAAAGGAATAGTCTCCTCTCAGTACCTATTAACAGATGTAAGAAAACAGCATATGAGTGTCTTTGCCAGCTTCACACTGTGTCAGGACATGCATATCAGTATTCAGTCTAAGACTTGACCTTTCTGTTCAACCAAGTCATTTTCTTTTTCCTCTTTGAAATGACACTGTTTGAAAGGTCAAGTACATTAAAATTGCCAAACAGCAGTTGTAAATGCATCACATCTAAAATTCCTTTTCGTGTTATAGAGCTGACTTTTATCCCAACGAGAGTTACTCACACCCTTTATATTTTGTTTAACTAAAAAATGTAGCTCAGTTAGTCCTATCCATTTCACACTAAAAAGTTTAATAATCTAAAGGTTATCAGCTATAGGGCAGTTTAGATCATCAAGACTTAAATGAAGTAGAGAAACAGTTTAGGAAACACTGGTTAAGAGAAATCTGTAGCACAGTACTTTTTTGAATAGAAGGACTAATCACACACAAAAAGATTAAGTTGATTCTAAAATCTGCTCCAGATTACTTGCCGTATAACATCTCTGCCTCAGTTTCCCTCATTTGTAAAAATGAAGATAATAATGTATTCTACTTTATGAAGTTGTAATGATTGAGTTGATATTTATCAGAAATTTGAATAATGCATAAGAAAACATTGAAATGAAAGTACACTCACATTTAAGAATATTTTAATAACAAAGATTGAAATAAAAAGAATTTTTTGTTTAACTCTGATCAGCTAACATACAAACTTTTCTGTGAGTTTTATGATTCATATGAGGCATGTTTATATAGAGTAGAATAGTAACAATGTGTAAGGAAGACAATAAAGGAGAGAAATAATTCAGATATTAAATTCAGGCAAATATTATATATAGCAAGAAAATATTATATTTTAGCTATAAATTCTCAGTATTCCAAATTATCAGTCAAATTCAAGACAGTGTATAAGATTGGAAAAGGTGATTTTTTAAAATTTGCCTTTCCAGTAGTTATTTATCAGGTCCCTTTCTGCTTTTTAATAACTATTTAATATATGCCAGTGTGGGCCCACTGACATTTTTGATATCAAATATTTAGAGTAGGGTTTTTTCAGTTTATAAAAACTGTGGTAAACCCAGAAAGACTCTTGGGTAAAAGTTACCATTAATCTTAGAAAGTGACGGTGTTGGGAAGTTGCTTGGCAGGCTATTGTCCATGGGGCCACAAATGAGTTTGACAGGACTTAGCAACTAAATGACGACAGTGAAAAAAGAGAGACTCCAACTTGTTCTCCTGTAACTGAGGTGCCCGTCTTTAAACGGAATCATTAAGGATTTTATTTCAAGTCTTGGAAAATCATTAAGTGATGTTCTTTGCTACCTTTTGCATGCAAAATTAACCTTAATTGTAGCAGGCCAATTTTATTCAAACGGATAGGAAATGAAGTTTGCTTTTAGCTTTGCATGGTGCGTTTTATATATTTAACATTCATCTTCTAATTTTCCATGGTATAATGCTGTAAATAACTTAAAATTTTTTTTCCACAATGCTTCTTAGCTCAGATACTCACAGGCTTGTTTCAGATCTGTCACCTCTGCTGACACAGTGTCTAGTTTGAAACTGCTGGAGACCTGAGCCGTGTGGCCCTCATGGATGTAGCGTTTGCAGTGGTGGTGGGAGGCCAGTATCTTTCTGTGCTCATGCCAGGGAGTGGAATGTAGAGCTGCTACCGGCAGGGATTAAGTCCCAACTCTTATTTATTGCTGTAAGACTTCCCAGAACTATCTGATCCTAGTTAATTATCTGATCTTAGTTTCTAGTTGGGTCTGATCCAAGGACTTATTAATGCAATATCCTTGTTATATTCTTAAGTTATTCTCATAATATTGAAAAGCCTGAAATGGTATATAGTAATTCTTGCTAAAAGTACTCATATTGCCCTTTGCCTTCTAACTTTCTTTGCCAGTCTGTGTCTCTGTGCCGTGCAGTTCTCCTTAGTAGGAATCAGAGCACAGTCTGTTGCCTTGACGATCACTAGGGTCTTGTGCTCACTGACTTGGTAAATGTCCCTTTCTTCCTTTGCCACACACTGTGTGCATCCCTTCTAAACTGCATCTTGGTCAAAAATGATTACTGCCCCTAGGTCCCTGAACCCATACACATAGTGTTCTAAGGATAGAGGCCTCCCCTTCAGCATCCATGCTCAGCGGTTCTCTAGTAATTTTAAACCCTGGCACTACAGTTACAGGGTAAGTTTTATTTAGCCCAGGCAGGAAGCATTACTGCCTTTTTACACAGGAGGAAACTGAAGTTTAGAAGACTTGGTGATTTTTCCCCCTCCATTCCTTCAGTGATACAGATCAAAGGTAATGGAGCCAGAACTAAATCCCAGGTGGCTGGCTTCAAAATGCAAAGGTATTTTTAGTGTATCATGTTGTAATTTAATGCTGTAAAAAGTTTTCCTAAAGTTGGAAAGAACAGCAAGGTGTACCACCTTGGTGACAATTTGCTAAGTTTCAAGGATATCTTTGCTTAGCAATCACTAAAGCTTGATTTAGCCTAATGCCTTTGTCATTCCCTTCCTAATCTGCCCTTTTCAGCCCCAGGTTTGCCTATATCTGTTTAGTCCAAATTGTTGAATTATTTAGCATTTCTTAGATAAGCTTCAGAACTTTTTTCTAAAAAGTGATCTCATTACATGTAACCATTTGACCCATTCTTGCAGCATACTCATACTTTTCAGGATTTGGTAAAAGAATCCATTGCTCTAAGCTCAGTGTAACTGAATGTTTCCTGAGCAACCATTCCTTGCTCTCCTGATTTTTCTGTTCATCTGACTTTTCCTTGAACAACATACTCCTTTTAGTTTCTCCTAGGGTGTCTAGAACTATTTCAAATAATTCTCCTTTTTTCTTCTGTTTATTCTCAAAGTCTTATAATAAATTTTCTTACATTTCAAAATCTCATATTAATATTATTTGATTTAATTTCATTTTCCTTCATGTATTAGTTACTTATTATAACACAAATCCTTTTTTTGAAGATATTAAATCTTTTATTGATTATACCTGATAATGGATGATACACAAGCTTCTTTCCCATCTATAACATTATTTGGTACCGTAATTCAATTTAGATATATCACATAGGATGTGCCAACAGTCATTAATAACCAAAAACCTCCATGACTTTGCATGGGTGACTCTTTTAAAGGTGAACTCCAGTTCACAACACAGTAACTGTCAGTTCAGCTACAACAAGGTTCTGAAGACAAAAGCTTCTCCACCAAAGCAGGTTTTAAATAAATTTTGAGTGGAACTTGGCATCATCCTGAAAGAATTCTAACTTTACACTGTTGAGATAGTTTACCAAAATGGCTTCAGAGTAGATTAACTTTACACAGCACATTTTTTAAAAAAGTATTTATTCAGCATCATGATTGGACTATTACATTTAACAATCAACAGGATGACTGCCAAAAAAAAAAAAAAAACTGCATTAAAACCCTTTATTGGAATACTTTACACTTTCCATAAAACAGAAACTAAAATAACCTGTTACACAATTAATCACAAATACAGTCCTCAAGGTTTTTGCTCATATACATGATATTGTTTGAAACATGTCTTCTTTGTAGCAGCTAGGCTCTGCTACCACTGTGCTTGGCTGAGTTCACAAATCTATTGTAACCTATCACTTCTCTGGCTCTCCTTTCCTGCTAAGCTCTGTTTCCTGGCAGTAATTAAAAGCTTCTTCCACGGTTATAGAGACTGCTGCTACTGGAACTACCATAGCCACCTTGGTTTCCTGGTTTGGCAAAGTATTGGCCTCCACCACCATAGGAGCCAGATCTTCTGCCTCCAAAGTTTCCTCCTTTCATGGGTCCAAAATTTGAAGACTGATTATTGTAATTGCCAAAATCATTCTAGCTTCTGCTACCTCCAAAATTGCTTCCATCGTTACCAAATCTGTTATAGCCATCCCCACTGCCACCGGTTTCCACCACCACCATGGCTGCCATCAGAGTTTCCAGACCACTTTGACCTCTTTGGTTGGATGAAGCACTAGCCATCTCTTGCTTAGGCAAGCCTTGATAGGGCTTTTCTTTCTTTGCAGTTGTGGCCATTCACAATGTGGTATTTCTGAATGACAGTGTTGGCTATGGAATCATGGTCATCAAAGGTTACAAAAGCAAAGCCTCTCTTTCTGCCACTGCCTCGGTCAGTCATGATTTCAGTCACTTCAGTTTTCTCCTACTATTGTAAATAATTTTTCAGGTGATGTTCTTTGGTGTCTTTAATGCCACCAACAAAAATCTTTTTCACAGTTAAGTGGACACCAGCTCTTTGAGAATCTTCTCTTGAGACGGTCTCTTAGGTTCCACAACTCTTCCATCCACCGTGTGTGGCCTTGCATTCATGGCTGTGTCCACCTCCTCTGCAGAGGCACATGTGACAAACCCGCAGCCTCTGCAGCACTTGGTATTTGGATTCCTTATTACCACACAGTCTGTGAGTGTTCCTCATTGCTCAGAATGGCTCCTCAGACGCTCATCATTTGTTTCAAAGCTCAGTCCTCTAATGAAGAGCTTCCGCAGCTGTTCAGGCTCTTTGGGAGACTTTGACTTAGACATGGTGGCAGTGGAAGGGGAAGACTTCAACGATGCTTACTCAGTGGCATCCACAGGCAGAAAGTATAACACTAATTCTTAATCCCCAGAGTTACATATCCAGGTGGTCTTTTTAGCTGTTCCATGTTAAATTCAGTATTTTAATTTTAAAATTTTCCCTTCCTCATTTATGTAAGGCTGTTTTTACTCCTTGGGGCTACCTTTAAATACTTCAAGCCAAAACTGTTT